ACAATTTTTTTTAAATAATAACTTATTAATTTACAGTTTATACTTGAACATTTTCTCTATTCTATGGAATTATTTCTAAACTATATAAAAAATATTTGGTTAAAAACACTCCATACCAAAATTTTTACGTTTCAAAAAACTTAAACAAGAAAAAGTTGAAGACATTCAGCTTCATCAAATGCCAATACACAAATGATCATTCTTTCAAATGTGCTGCTCAAACAGAGCCAACTTGATGATAGCACTGAATGAATTTCCGGATGAATATAGCAAATAACAGATAAGTTGAACTCAATTATTAAATTAGGGCAATTGAAAACAAAATTCAAATGTCCGATGATAGAAGATGTGAGACAAACAGAAACATATACTAAGCATACTATATATTTATGTTAATTTGTTGCATAGCGATAATGTTGAAAAAAAAAATGAATCACCCGTATAATCATATTCTTGGAAATCAATTCAATGCTATTATTAAATTGACTCGAGTTCAAAAATTATTCATGAATGATATTTATGTTAATGTAAAAGTTGTACATTTTTATCCCAAAAAATAATCGAACATTCATTTAAGCGCGACATTCCATCGCGTGCTAATTGCTGCGATCGGCTCGGAGTAATTGCAAATATTTTTTTTATGGCATTTTTATCTTCGACGAATGTGGAAGAAAACCACGAGACAGAATCTGGCTTTGACGGAAACGAAACTTCGATTACGGATGATTGGACAATTTCAAAGGAGACAGTTAAAAGCTGTCCATCCCCACATCCAGAAATTTATGGTTTTGCAATGTTCAATCGTTTCTCTCAACTCATTATGGTTTTTTTCAAGAATGCAATGTCATCTTCTTCATTTTCTTTCTATACCGCATTCGATTACTCTCCTCTCTCAAATGATTGGGTCGAGGTTGACATGACAACAGTCGTTCGAAAAATCAACAACACGTATTTACCCGAAGTCCCACAGATAATGAGATGTTTCGGAAAACCGCTGTATTACTATTGAATTTAGTTTTTTGTCTGTATTCTCAAAGATAATAAACCTGTTATCGATAAATCTTAATTTTTCAAAAAAAAAAATTAATGAATTGTCTTTCAAGATTGCCAGATTTTCGCCCCAGCGTGGAATTGCTAAGATTTTTATACGATCAAAGACGCCACTGGCCAACGGATTTGCCTTAGATGATGTCGAAAATCTTTGTCCGCTAGAAACGGGAACCTGATGAAAAATTTGCCCGGTATTTGGTGTTATTGCCGTTGAACTTTTTGTGTGGCGGGAGCAGTCTCTTGTGGTTGTTACACGAAACGTTTGACGCCTCGCCGTCATTCGAATGTCCCCGGTTAACATCATTCCAGCCGTGCTTCGTCTTCAAGTGCAAAAAACAACTCGGTCTGTCTGCGTGAACGATATTAATTGCTAATTCGGCAATTTTGGGTTCAAAACAATCGATTTTAGACCGATAAACTGTTTTGAATCCGATTTTCTCTCATTTCTTTGAAGACTTTTTCGATATTTATTTAATTCTAAATTAGAATTTCTAATGTTCCGGAGGTAATTGCCCACTTCGTTCAATGGGTAATGCGGGCAGTACCATTAATTAACTATGTTCCAAATTCAAATGTGCTGCGCTAGTTTGAAAAACGGGGTGTTACTTTTCTATATTTGAAACCGATAAACTGACGTTGAAACGCTGTATTCAATGTCAAAGCTAAAAATCAACACAGTCCTGTTGATATTTCTTCTGTAGAAACTCGATCAAATTTGATTGCTTTGTTCATATTTAATGTTAACAATATCAGGTTTTAGAAAGCCATGTATCAATCATATTTTCAGATTACACATAGCATTTCTGCTATAAACTTAGCTGAAGGCGAAATCGGGAATTCACCCAAATTGCATTTTTCACTGTGCCGTTCTTAATGTTTTTGTTGAATTTCAATCAATAAAATGATTACGGCACAGACGAAAAAAACCTTTGAATCAAACAAAGAGATACGTCTAAAATATGACGTTAGTGGGTTTGCATCCAATATTCTCATATAATGACAGGAATCCTACTAAACAACACACATACGCATGTACAGTCATTTGCGCATACACAATCGTCATAGATGAGTTGACGTTTGGAAACCTACTAACGTCATATTTTAGACGTATTTCTTTGTTTGATTCAAAGGTTTTTTTTCGTCTGTGGGTATTCAAATTAAAATAACGTTTCTGCTGATTGATCAATTTATTTATTTGAAAGAAATTAAATAAATTCACATATTCTGGTTCGCATGTTTTACACGTTCCATTTTTTTGTTTTGCCACGTTAGAAATAAAGAATAGATAAATAAGGTTTTTTTTCGTTAAAAGATTCATTAAATAGTGAAAATTCTCGGAAGCATTTGCAAAGAAGCCAAGTGTCGAAAGTCTTCGTTTTCATCTTCATTTACCATATGTGCTGCAACCATGTTTGCATGTCAATGGTTTCTCGCAGTGTTTGCATGGTGGACGCTCACATTTGCATGGTTTGACAACGACAATAACCTTAATGCGATAGCATTGCTGGCGAACGGGATCAAATTCATGATCTTCGGGACAGAAACGGCGGAACACGAAGAATTTGTGGAGGAAACCCTTTTTACGTACGCAAATAAAGTAATTGCTCTTGTTCCATGGATCTGCGAGTAGTTCACGATCGTATTGGCAGCCATGAATGTGGCCACAGTTGGACCAATCGGATGAACATTGTCTCCCGTCGAATGATTGTTCATACGGACACTGCGTCCGTTTTTTTTTGCCATAAAATAAATAGAAAATGGTAATTTTAGTTTGATAGAGCAGAAAATTTGAAATCGATTTAATATATTTGACTCAGAATCAGTCTAAAATACCTCATAAACGGAGTGATCGCCACACAAATGGCATTGAATGAATTTCTGGCAATTCGATGGATGAGGATGACGACCAAACTTACGGCAAGACCAACCGCTAGTGATTTGACACGGTTTTGTTGGTCTATTGTGATGATTATTAGCTATGCTAGCGATAATGTGGCCTTTAGTTTTGTCGCTAACACCAATTAATGCAACTGTGTTTGATATATTAGTCGACACAAGATCTCCTTCATCATGATGAATACCGTGCAATAGTCCGCCGCCACCGCAAATTCCTTTTCGCGCCAGCAACTGATCTTGCTGGAACTGTTGCGCTTCCAATTGCTGTTGTGCAAGCTCACTTGCTATCACATCGTATGTGGAGGTGATGGTGTAATTAGTTTCAACCAAAATCGGTTCATCGTTGTAGATGACTTCCTCGTAGGCTGGACAATTCTCGACCACTTCAACGGTTGTGATGACAGCAACAGTTTCACCGCAATTATGGCATGGCGGTTTTTCGCAACATGGTCGATCGCAACATGGTCGTTCGCAGTGTTTACATGGTGGCCGATCACATTTGCATGGTCGATCACATGGTTGACAAGGCTTTTCAACAATCACTTCGCATGTCACACACGTCGCACAATCTAAGCAACCGGACACTGTGAACCAAACAATAAATTCCAGTGAAATAAATTCAATGACGAAAAAAAAACATGACATCATTACTTGATCGAAAAAAAATGTTCTACAAAAAAGTCTCTTCAATAAATTGTGTCTCTTGAACAGAAACATTTGAATGGTTTGGAGCGAAAATGTAATACAGAAAAGTTGAGCGGAAAAATGTCAAATGAAAAGGGATATAGATCACTATAGTTTGCTATACAGTTTACTATATAGCTATCTCATTTCCGCTCATTCATCATCGACATTTTTCCGCTCAACTTTTCTGTATTACATTTTCGCTCCAAACCATTCATTTCTTCAGCGAAAGGAATTATTTTTAATGAAAAATTCATCAAAAACAATTCTCCAACGAAAGAAATAATAAAAATTCATCAAATAAATCAGTTCATCAGTTGATCGATCGGTCAAAATACTTTTCGACCAAATTAAGCAAATAAACTGAGAAATAGCACAATCAAGTTAAAATCACTCGAAAACTTCTGATCGTGAAGAAATTTATGTTGAAGAGAATTCATGTTTTTTTTTTCTTGCATTTCATCAATAAAATTAAAGAAAATCTAAAATTTGCAATTTCATCATACCTGGTTCAATGACCTGCTGAACTATTGGTTGACCGATAATGTTTGTGATCTGTGGTGCTTCCACGTGAATATTATTAACGGGATTTGTTTCGACCACCACTTGATTTTCGTTGTTGTTCGATGGCTTTTTATGTGGTTTATCTGTGTATTTTTTTCATTCAAAAAATATATTGGGCAATATATTAATTAGGTTGAAAACATTGGTTTTAAGCAAATCATTTGAAAATTGGTTGACTCTCATTATGTACCTGCAATGTAGTAGTGTTCATCGTCATCGTGATCGGAATCATCTTGATCATCGATTTCGTCTTCGGCACTCACTAAATCGGCAGCAATCAATGTTGTTGTCTCAGCATCGTCGGGTGGTATTTTTGTTGTTTCATCATCGTCGGGTGGTATTGTTGTTGTTTCAGCTTCATCATACCAATACTCTAGATCGAATCTCGTCAAATCTGGAAGAGTTCAATTGATTTCGGAGAGAGATGTTTGTTTGTTTTGTTTTGTTTAGTCAAATGTGAATGAACTCTTCTTGCTAACGGTTTAATTAGTTTAGATGAATTTAGATGTGTGAGAATTTGAAGCTTAAGAATTTGAAATGGGTTTTTTTCCGTTATTTATTCCGGACATTTCCATAAATGTATGCAAATGTGATTCTAAAATTTTAGAAAGTTGTTTACAAAACAGCGCGATTGCGATAGCAGACTAGAAATATTATTGAGCAAGGGAAATAAGCGAAGCAAGCGTAAAGCAACAGCAGCGAATAAAAAAAAAACACACAAGCACAACTATTTTTTTTCTCAATTCATATTTGTTATTACAATAAATAAATTACAATAAATAGATAAATAGACATTTTTTGTTTGATAAGAGGGAGATAAATTAAAATTAGATAGTTTTTGTTGTCGTTGTTGATTTTTCGTTTTTGTAGGAATGATAATTTTTTTTTTTGTAGAGTTTTTGTTTTTCAATCGATTGGTTCTTACGCCCCTTTGCTATGCGATAGTGAGACAGAAATAGAGACAGAGTGTTGATCATTTCTAGAATGATACCGACAATATTAGAAGAATGCGTTGCGAAAATGGTTGCAATTGCCATTCAAGCACACGTTTTTATTGTTTCTTTTGTGGGCTCTTCTTCTTCTTGTTCTTCTTCTTCTTTTGTGCTTTCTTCTTTTGGCATTTCTTTTGTTTCTTGAGTTGCTTGCGGCGTAGTTTGGCCTTGCTGATGCGACGGTAGTCGGCTGAGTCCATACACAGCCCATAGTCAACATCGAAGATACGGCCTGGTGAACAATCACGACGGTACACGTCGTATGATTCCTTGAATTTCTTGCCACCACGAATGCAAATGAAGTAGCTGTTGTCATCGGATGGATCTTCGATCAATTGACGATGGTACAAACATTGTTCGAGAGCCTCGCATGATGACCAATCGGTGGTACATGAACGGATGCTTGGATCGTAGGCTTCATCATCTTCACACTCGAACACAGTGTTTTGCAATGTTTTACTGAATGGTCCGGACTTTGAGCATTCGACGTATTTCTGGCAATCGATTGGATGAGCATAACGTCCTTTACGTGGGCAAGTCCATCCTTCTACGATGCTACAGCCAGTGTTTTCATCAGTGTTACCGCCCTTGTTCTTGTTGAACAATCCATTGTCTTTGATGGCAAACAAATTATCGACCTTGTTGAGAACGGCATTTTGAAGACCACTAGCAGCGTTTCCAAGGATACCGCTACCGCCGCTGGTGGTGCCACCGGTGCCACCGGTACTACCACCGCCACCGCCGCCTCCTTTACGGCCAACGTTACGTTTCTTGCCTGGTGCAATAGCTTCGGTTGCATTTGCGAATGCACTCATCAAACTCTTACGAATCTTTTGCACTGGTGGATAACGAACCTTCTTCCTTTCGGTTGTCTTCTTCTTTTGTACTCTGCATTCGAGAATGATTAAAATTTAGAAAATCAATCAATTGATCAGAACGCAAGAGATGAAACATTTGTTTTGTTTTCGGTTCGTACGGTATATTTGTATGGAATGCTTACGTGTCAGATTTAGCATCAGATTTCTTGCCTTCGGATGGTTTCTCAGCGTTTGGTTTTTCGGTAGTCTTGGCGGCATGCTTCTTGGAACCACTCTTCTTCTTCTTGCTGCCCGACTTCTTCTTCTTCTTGTTCTTGTTGGCTTCTTGGTGTTGTTTGCGCTTCTTCTTGCACTCATCATCATTGTCGGAGCATGAATCTTCGCAGCTATCACCATCGTCACATTCATCATCGTCCGATGACGATGATGATGATGAAGATGATGATGAAGATGATGAAGATGATGATGATGATGATGATGATGATGATGATGATGATTCGTCTGATTCGCATGATTCTTCTGATTCGCATGATTCGTCTGATTCGTCTGATTCGTCTGATTCGTCTGATTCGCATGATTCGGAGGATTCACAGTCTGAAATTCAAAGGGCGAACAAAACCAATTATAATGTTTTATGATCAATTTTCTTAATCGCGTTCAAAAGCTCTTGTTTAAAAGTTTTTTCCGAACTCCTGGAGTTGAAAACCTAAGAATTTTTCTTCGTCATTGTCTACTTACCATCATCTGTTTGGCTGACTTGAGCCTCTGATGAGATACCATCTTCGTATTCATAGTCAGAGTCGGCGCTTTCGCATGAGTCAGATTCTTCACAGTCTAGAATTTAGAATGAATGCATTACACTCTTTGTTTTATCGTAAATAGAAAAGGCAATAGCGCTAATCGATCGTAAAGCTTTGTGAATTTGAAATGTTCAATTCAAACTCAACTTACGAGGAAAAGCTCAACTACTACCAAAAAAAAAAATCATAGTTCAATTATTCAATGTACCATCTTCATCATCTGGACATTCTTCAACGATTTCGATACCGCCGTCAACTTCTTGTTCTTCCCACACGGCCTCACCCTCTCCTGGTTCTAATTCATCTTCGTCGGAGCAGTCATCGTCTGAAATGTTCAAGCAAACAAAATTGGTGATGAACAACGAAAATAACGAGCAAAACTTCAATTGATTGGGTAAGAATGAAATCCAAATCTCAACCTACCATCACTGGAATCACTGGAATCACTGGAATCACTGGAATCACTGTCTGATTCGCATGAGTTTGAGCCAGATTCGTCGGATTCCTCGCATGAGCTTGATGAGCTTGATGAGCTTGATGAGCCATCTTCTGCGGTACTGTCATCATCATCACCATCATCATCACCATTATCATCACCATCACCACCACCATCACTATCACTATCGTCACTATCGTCACTATCGTCACAATCGTCAGCTCCGGATTCGCATGAGTCGTAATCGTCACCGCATGAGCCTTCGTCTTCGCATAAATCTGTTTGAGAAGAAGCGCGAGAGATTCCCAAGAGTGAGTAACACTAAAACATATTATAGGGGGAGTCAGTCGTATCTGATTTTCCATACAAATTTTTACAACTATTTGATTCGCATGAAATATTTACCTTTTTTATATTATTTCAATAATATAAAAAGAAGAGAGAAAACCAACAGAGCACGCGTCTTTTTAGTTGAGTATTTTTTGTTTTGTTATCATTCACTTGTTTAACACGCGACAAACACGAACATCGAATTGTAAAAATTATATGGAAAATTTCGAAAGAGTCGATCTCTTATTTCTTTTTTTTCGCCTAAACTAGATTTTATGTGATGCATCGGTTAATGGAGTTAATTTTTTGAGAGGGTTGGGTTAATGAAATGTGAATTAAATAGCCAAAATAGATATTGAAAAAACGAGCGGTATGTAATGTATGCATGTGTTTTTTTAAAATAGACTTTGGAAAATGGTCTGTACCGGGATCCTCGCCTGACTCGGAGCCGCCATCCTCGCCTGACTCGGAGCCGCCATCCTCACCAGTTTCGCCACTGTCTCCACAATCTGCGCCGTCATCACTTCGACAGTCATCAGGGCCACCCTCTTCGCCACTTGCACCACCTGCCTCACCGCTTTCACCACTTCCACCGCTCGCTTCGCCACTTGAACTACCTGCCTCACCACTTAAACCACCTGCTTCGCCACTTGAACTACCTGCCTCACCACTTGAACCACCTGCTTCGCCACTTGAACTACCTGCCTCACCACTTGAACCACCTGCTTCACCACTTCCGCCGCCACCCTCGCCACCCTCGCCACCCTCGCCACTTTCGCCACCTGTCTCACCACTTGATCCGCCATTTGGCTTGCCATTGCCATTTGCGCACTCTCTCAGGCCATAGGCGTTACGTCGACAATCATCTGGACTACCTGTTTCATTTTCACCGGAATCCGGTTCACCAGTTTCGTTGGCATTTGGTTCAATAGATTCACTCGGTCGGC